AACCTTACCTGTCAGAGAAACCTTATCACTTACACAGCAAGACTTGGTAAGCTAAATTCTGCTCGTTGGCGTATGAACTAAACTCCTCTATGTTAGACTTAATCTATTTAATCAAAGAGATGAAACGCAAATTTTCATCTTTTTTGCACCTAACGTTACTGGGACAAGGTAGCCTATGAATGAGCAAATGTAGAACACAATTATGAAAGACACATACTGTTTGTTTTTCGAAGAAGAGTTGTGATAGGAAATACAAAAATATATCACATTTCCCGGTTTCAGGACTAAGAACTACACCGGTGGTGCGATTTGCTTGCCTTGGGTGAATTTTAACCTATAAATCATGCAGGAGGAGAATATTTTTGACAGAATTTCACTATATAAAGCAATTCTATAGACCACAAAAATTCCATTTCTCTATTTTTGTATGCTTGCTGCTGTGTATCGTACGTATGTAAATATTATTGAAGGCTATTCCTAATAGATCTTTTATTGAAATATTCTCGTAATCAATTATCGAAATCAAGTAGAGAAATATCTGACAAGTATACATAGTGGTTTCAGCCGCAGATAGCTGAACTCACACAACACGTTTTACTATAAATATGCTTTAAAATAAACTACACAGAGCCAGTTGACGTTGGTTGGGACTCGATAAAATTAGAAATTTGGAGGTGAACTTTTATCTAGTTGAACGCTTTCTTCCGCAGTTCTTCAATTTGAATTTTTTCGGAATGTCAAAGTGTGAATCACTATCTAATATACAGCTTTATGAAAGTTTTAGTTTCTCTTTAATTAAAGTTAGAGTTGAGATATTTTCACAACATTATGTATTTTAACATTATAAAAGGCGTCCTGTTTTCTTCAGCATCACTAGTCTTTGAAAATTCTTTCGAATATAATATCCTACTATTAATTCAGATAATTTTTAATCAAAGGAGCATTCGTCAAAATGCACAAAAAATTTCACTGGAAGCGCATCTCTTGTAGTTTCCTTAAATCTCTTATGCTCTTGGAAGTCATATATTTAGAAAATAATGAAGCGTCTTATCCTTGGTTTTGTGCTCTTCTCTATAGTCGAGCTAGCCCTCAGCAACGTCTACCTTAGCACCTGTGCGAGGATGGATGTGCCTGTGCTTGAAAAAGTCGCACATGGAGCTTGCATTACTTCCTGCAGCATCCAGGTAATAATAAATAAAATTACTAAATTAGATTCCTTAACTTGTGCACTTTTATGGAACTTCGCGATAAGCATAAGATAAAGTAGTTTTGTGGTTATAGCGACTTTTGATAAACTGCATTAAGGCTCTTCAAATTTTTTTACAGGCTATATTGTGTCTCGCATCTTAAAAAGATTTTTTACATGTTCTATATTTGTGATAATTTCCAATACTATATTTAGAACTGTGGCTCTGGTCATTGCGAGATGAGAGGAGGACGAAAAACCTGCGTTTGCACAAGATGTGCGAACGGCGGAAATGTTCCTCTCGATTTACTGATGAGAAGGAGAGGATGAGAAGGGATGGAACACATTGTGCCTTCAATGTAACTTCTTTTTCCGTGTTTTGTTCTGGGATATTTTTAAGAGAACGTGATTCTACTATCCATCTATACCTTTTAGTACAATAAACGAGTCACCTTGACTGTTGAATACAGAAGAAAATGAGGAGTTTTGAGAGTGATGTAGGATTTATTTTTGACAGGCACTACGCTATGAATGAATGCATTAGTAATCACAAGGTGAAAGATACGACCTCATGACGCCAAGATCAGTGAAAGCGCACAAGGCACTGCGGAAATCCAGCAAAAATCATAGCAAGACTTGTTTACGCAAGAAGATCACATTGATGTCTGCCCTATCTTTTTCGACTATCT